CAGTCCATGAGCTGCCAAGCTGACCTATGAGCCATTTTCCTGTAGTTGCAAAATGTTGGTGGTCATTTGTGGACACTGCCACCATGTCTCAACTCTTGATGTGTAAGGTGGCTCCTCCGATCGTGCCAGGGTCACCTGGCAATGTGGCCTTGCAGGTAGATCCCTATTCTCAAGGAATGCGCCTAAGTCCACCACCAGTTCCGTAATAGAACCGAGTAGGATCTTCGTTCCCTCACGGCCTACCCGGTGAGATGTCTCATCTGAGAATACATTTATTATGCAGACAAGAGTGTGGTCAAACTAGCCGTATCCTAAGTGATTCCAATATTCCAAATGGACTGTGTAATCCTCGGCTGCGGCAGAGAAAGGACTCCAAAAGGACGTCCAATCAGGGTCCCAAACTGAATTTGTGTGGTGGAACACTGGTCGACTATTCTGGAAATATTGAGTCCCGGAAAAATTCAAAGGGATTGGTTAATGTAAACCAGAGTTGAGATTTCCATCCAGATATGTCATGGTCTAAAAATGATAAGATGTACGGATGCAATGGTGATAGGGATCTGTATGACAATGAAGATTCCTCACGTGCTGTAGTGAGAGAGTGAAATAGTTCGATTACCCGTCGTACGAACCTGTTCCATGCCCGACCTGTCAAAATTTGTGTAGGGGTTCCTGGTCTACACGCCACCTACAAGATAGGGTATAATATAGTGAGATCCCTAGGTTCCTGTATCCCTGACTGTCCGGACACGTATCTCCCAGAGTAGACCCTAGGTCAAGGGACCCAGGAATGTGAGTTCGATAACCGAAGTCTCCCTATAGAGATTGCAGTCCCGTGAACCCATAGCATTCTCCAATAGGCCGGCAAGGCGTAAAGTCCCTTTGCTCATGACAGGTGATTACAGAGAGCAGATATAACGAAACAGAAGTGTCTAGCTTCAATCGTCCGAATCATGTGTTGTCCCGTTTGAGAATGTCGGCAGCCCCATCTGAATCTGCTACACACCCTGAGCCGTACTCCAGCGGTAGGCTGCGACCCGAGTTGACGTCCGTGTTGGAGTCGGGGCAAAACGGGTTCCTCCGTAGAGTCTCGTAGGTCTCCTTGATGGTAGTTGAAAAGGTGGGTTAGCGCAAACCCAAACAAAGGCGGTTCCCGTGAGGGATATAGAGCATAGATGGAGGGCCCCCATCTCCGAACCCTGTTCTCCAGATATGTGCTCAGAGGAATACGGGCAGTCCTGTCATCTTATCCCAAGATTGTAATGACCAGGACACTCAAGTCAACCAGGGTTTTCGGTCCTTCCATGCGATCCATGCGTATGGCGTACCTGCAGACCAGGTAGGTTCCCTAGTCTTATTACCCGAGCAAGGCAGTGCCCGTTTGCTCCATGAAGGTCTCAGTATCTCATGTCATCTCGATATGGGAAAAACTGTCTGCGCAGTTTGTGCGCAATGGTCCGGATATCTAAGACAGAATGCAATTGTCTGTTTTATATAGCGCAGAATATACCAAAACCTGCACTCTTGTAATACCTGAGGCTCATGCGTTAGCCGTACCGTCTCCAGGAGTGAGTGTAAATAAGCGGGAGTCTCCCCCCGTTATACCTCTGATCCAGTAGATCCATTACAGGAGATGAAATAGAGGGATCCAGTCTAAATATGTATACCCTGCATGATCAGGCAGCCCTCTATAACGAAAATCGGTAGCACGGTTGTTAGATCTAATTGAATGCAGGAGGGACGCCCCTCTATGCAGTCATCGTTGTCCTGTACAGGTACAAGCCTGTGAGATGAACAAAAGGACGGCACCGTATAGCGTTGAGTGTATGAGAGAGCCGCGCTGTCAGCGTCCGGCTGATAGCCTGAGCGGGCCGTGCCCGTTAATAACCAAACAGTAGAGTCTACATCCATGACCGGTTCTCTCTACGTGAATGTGACACCCAAAACATGTCCTCTGTATCCAGCTCCGTATCGGGCTGAGGTTGAGGGAGGGCCACGCCCTTTAATAACAAATCAGTGTCTGGTTCCGTATATGAGAGGGGTACTCTCTCTGTTCGTGAAAATAAAATAAAATTCTCGGATCGAGGTGATGGAGGGCCACACCCTCATGTGATCCAAACCAGAGTCCCTTAGAGACTAAGGGTGACCAACTGCAGGGGTACACCATTTACTAATATCAGCATAAGGCTGAGGTGGGTCTCTCTCTGACCCTGAGACCTCTCTCTGAATCGCTCCCTGAGATGGAATCAACTGGTAATAAACCAGACTGATGGCAGATGGACTAGTATACAACCTCGGGCCGTGTCCATCCTTAATAACTGAAAGGGATGGTGCGAAAATGCAACCTTCGGAAACAATGATGGAAACTACCAACTGACCGCCCGGATCCCGTGCGCGCGAGGGGTCCAGGGTGATTGTCGGTAGCCTGAGGAAAGCTGGAGAAGTTCTCCGCAATCCATGAAAGCCCAGGGGGTCGGAGGAGGTCAAGTCAGGCCTCTCGACGACCCGAGCGATAGGACAATTGGAAAGTTGGAAAACCAAGAAACGACAACTAATATAGATAACGGTAAATATGTACCTCGGAGAGAAGGTAAATAGCAGATCGGAACAGCAAGCCAAGTAAACCCAACTTAAAGGGTCAGGAGCTAAACATGACGTAGGACTAACTACCAATATCTAAGATGGATACCGGGAAGGCAACTAAATGGTTAGTTGCTGAAGGCAAGGCAACCGTACTCCCCTATTGGCGTCTGAGCACTAGTCCCTGCTTGTGCGTAATTCTCTTTGGAGATGTGCCGCCGCCGGGTAGGTGTAAACCGTGGTGGCGCGCCAAGGGATCCTGATATTAAAAACCTTGCCCCTGAGGTTTAGGGCCTTCATCCTTCCAATCATATTGAGGTGCCCATGAAGGGCACTGGAAAGTGGGGTGGGGGGGAGGAGGAGGGTGAACACAAAGGGGAACAAACTGAAGGTATCCCCAGAAACCCCCCAGAAACCCCCCACAACGACAGGAAAACATCCCCAAAGAAACAGGGGAAGCCCAGAAGATCCAAAAGGACATGAATCCCAACTAAATATAATAAATATATATAATAAAATATAAATGTATATAAGATATAAAATATGATAACTAAGAATAATGTATATGATATATAAAATAAATATATATAATCTGATAAAATATAATGTATATAAAATATAAATAAATATATAACATGATAACTAAATATAGTAAATATAATCTTAAATAAATCATTATAAATCCCAAAACCACCCACTATAAGCAGGAGGCAGTGGTACTCTGACCTGTACTGATGCGGAGCAGCAAAGAAAGAGGAAATGATGCATGGGGAGGGGAGTTTTATAGTACCTAATTTTTTTCTGATTGGTTGTTTTTCTGTGTTGCTGTGGAGTTCTAGTAAAGAGAGATTTAAGCAAAAACTAAGCTATGCTATATGTTTTATGTTATAAAATTGTATTACTGCAATGTAAAAAATGAATATTGATCAAAGTTATTAATTTAAGGTCCAGTGGTTCTCCGTCGCAGTAAAAGTTCTGTTTCCTCTGCGACACTACCAAATTATGGAACATCTCCTAGACCACGTCATGCAAAGTTAAGCTCAACAATCCGCAGCAGTGAATCTTTCAGTGGGGCAGATACCACCCCGAGAGATAAGTTCCGCCTCAGGCGAAGGGGACATGTACTTGAAAGTGAAGGTGATGAACAAACAGGTGAGAGGAGTACCTAAACAAAAAGAAATACTGTTTAGAAGACACAACAAAAAAATTAAAGGAGAAAATCTGGAGAACAGATAATACCAAGTTTCTCTGGATGTTAGTGATTTGCAATATCATTTATTTTATCATCTCTAGTGTACATACTGACTTCTGATAAGGCAACTTCCTTATCCCTGTAACTGAAAAGTTGCAGTAGGTAATATATCCCATTTCAGGAACTTCCTTCCCCTTCTTGCAGAGGGAGAGTTGTAATGCCCACTGCTCATTAACAGGGTTATTCTCTAAACACCAAATTATGTCAGGATGGGGACAAAAATCTGGTGAAAATGTCTGAATTCTGACCCAATGGCAATTCTCAAATTTATTAAAGCCACATACGGCTGGAATTCGGTCAGTTGGAGCGAATCTGCAGCTATTACGATTGCGAGGATATATTTGCCATTTGGATTAAAATCAGTGCTTTGCATTTGAAACCTATACAAGCTGTAAGATTCTGAAGATTCACTGATATTAATAAAATTCAGAGCCAAACGCATCCAGTAGGATACAAATTCACAAATTATTAATCGCTTGCTTTTTTGCAAGTGAATTGATCGTTTTAATTACTATTCACTATTAAAGAAAATTTTAAATATTTACTATTTCACAGTCTCCCTTGTCATGGGATGGATCCTTTTTAGCAACTGGGCAGCCATTGCTAGATTTGAATATTTAGTAGATATACCCCACCTGCCACATGGCAGGTACGGGAAACAGGAGGGGTAAAGCCTCCCTTTTAGTAATATGGGATTCTAATTGACCTCCATAGGGTTTATTATTTAGTTTTAACTATTAAATGTGGTAGCTGGCTAGCAAGCATTGGACAATATCTTCGTTCTTCTATCCCTTTCCTCTTCCTGTCTTTCTCACACAACTGCATCTTATTGCATTATTGCTTTTTTTTTATCTTACAGGTGAAGGCGTATGATCTGAGTGCCCCACCTATGTAAATACGCGCTGGTCGCTGTAGAAATTAATTTCTGTATATATTGTGTTATTACTCGTATCTGGATAATTCAATAAATATATATATATTTACAGGTTTACATAAGTGTTCAGTTACTCTTTTTAGATGGAATCTTTTTTTTAATAATAATCACGTACATAAGAAATATGTACATTCAATAGCCTACAATATTAAAAAAGTAAGAGTATAACAATTAAAGGTGTATAGCGTTTGTGGCCATGCTTTCTATCTAAAAGGGGGAGAGATTGAGAGAGAAGTTCTTCCAGAGCTCAGTAGTTCACTGCAATTCTCAGTAAACATTCCATTGAAAACCATAGGAATCCAAGTGCACGAAAGTTCAGTTCGAAAGTCAGACCAAGGAAGACCTAAGAAAGTCTGTGGTTTAAGGGAGTGATTCTCAACCCAGTCCTCATTCTGGACTGTTGATGCATATTGAGGACTGTGTAAGGAAGCACTCTTTTAAGGTCTTGGAAAACATATTATGTACGAACACAGGCCTGTATTTATTATTTTTAGATAAGCTTTTCAAATGATTTATTATTTTTACATACATTTTCAAAATTATTTTTTCTAAATATTAAAATATATGTATACTGCAGAGTGCCCCAAAAGTAGGTATACAATATAGTTTATTTGCATTTTATTACATTGTTTATTACATTTAAATTTGTTTAACACTGTACTACACATTGATGAAGTACCTACCAAACTGTAGATGGAAAAATGCCTGAAAAAAATGCATCAGGTAATGTCCCTCTTGATCCTGCCCGTGATACCTCAATCTATGGAGACCTCTGCAATCCCCAAACATGTTCTAAGGTTAATGTGTACTGCCCTTCATGACCTGAGCTGGGTAGTCTACAACAATAAAGATTACATGTTTTTCTCTGCCTTGCACATTGTTTACTCCAGAATGGATTACTTCTTCCTCTCTTACTACTACCTTCCCGACCTAATGCGAGTCACTAGGATTACAGCCATGTGGTCAGACCATGCACCAGTTCGTTTTACACTGACATCTACACCACCTCAGCTCAACTAACTGGAGGCTGAATGCAACCTTTTATTTTTTTGCCAATCTTTATTTTTTTGTGTGCAAAGGAGTCACAAACATGCTTGTATTGCCATAACAGCAGGTACAAGCTTGTTCAAACAATGCATAAAGTTTAATATTATGGCACATAATAAAAATGCACATTTTTTGATAGCAGAGAGAAGAGTAAAGTAATTAAGCTACGCAGACAAGTCTAATCTGAGACTAACATCACCGAACAGAAGACTAGATAGGCATGGGCAATTCAATAGGGATTAATGCAAACCTAACCAGTCTAATTGAGAGATAATGTAGACACATTAGTCATAGACACTAGACTTTAAATACACTAAAATAAACAATGAGTGTTACCACTGGGTGCTAGATAGACATGGAAACAGCATATGAGATTATACAAAGGAAACAACATGAGAATCTGCCTACAAATAGGTAGTCAGTCAAGACTATAGAGGTCAGCAGGAGATTCAAGAAAATTCAGCCTATCCTTTTCATGTAGTGGGTGCTGCCCTAGTAAGAATAATGAAACAAGACCCACTTATTAGCTCCCCACCAGTCTCACGACTCCTATTGCGGTATCACTCAGGACTTAATGTCAAGGCCTTCTATCAGGTTTCATGCTAGAATGGTGTGAGTTGTGCTTGGGTTATTGTCTCAGGTTGGACCGTGGCGTAGGAAGATAGCGGGTCGTAGTCATTCTGAGCTTTCGGCTCTTAAGTACCATCCAAGGCGTCTGCCTACGTTTCTTAACTGACCATTTTGCGGCAGTGTCGCGCCCAACAGGCGAAAGCTGAGTAGTAATGTGAGTGAGATCAGGCTGAGATGTGTGTGTGGCTCTAAGTCTCGCGGCTAGTCGCTCGATCTTGTGCCAGAAGTGCGCCCTCAAAGGCCCGGGAGAGTCATTCTTCCTGCAACGCCCACAGGGTGAAATCACAGAGAGCAGCTGGCTTTCTCTTGGCAGTCATTTTGACTGCTTGAATACAGGGAGGCAGCTTTGCAGGAACCACCATTTCCAGATAGTGTAAGTGGTTCCGTCCGTCAGTGGGGACCGGATAGCTCTTGCCGATGCAAGGGGAGGGGGATAACAAATCCACTTTTATGAGTATGGAGCGGGAAGAGCGGATGCCTTTGACCAGCTCCCACGTCCGTAGGCCGCTTGTTGCAGTGCCGGCTCCTGTCATTAAAGATAGTTGGGTAAGGTGTCCACTGAGTTGTCGGCTCACTCCCCGGTTGTTTAGTGCAGGGTTTTACACTGTGTGAGGTCCAATAATGCAGAATCTCTTCAGGCACACGTCTGATCGGCTCAGCAGATAGGCTCCACCCTGAATGTGACCTTTTTACTTGAGACACAAAGACAAGGTTGTAACGGATCGCCTGGCACCCCGACTGGGTACCTCCGTTAAAGGATGCTCCTAGCGCTTCCTGAGGACTCCAAGCACTGCAGCAGACACCACAACCACCGAACCGGAGAAGCATATGAATCCTCTCAAGCATATGAATGCTGTAGACAGTTGAATAGGAACCATACGAATAGGTTTACTCTCCTAGCAGTCAAACTGGAACAGCATACAATGAATCCTTCCCCCAATAATGAGACGACACTTCACTTTGAGGGTTAAAACAGGAACTCCCTGTACTGTCACATACAGTCTCTTTTATTCCCAATCCACAAACATAGTACAGCCCACAGGGCGTTACAAAACAGCCAATCAATCCATACAATACACCCAGACACTCCCACACAAAATCCTCCCCTCTGGCTGTGATATGATTACTGAACACAATGGGTAATCTAATTATCACAGCCAGAGAAATACAGTTTCATAAAACACATCACAGGGACCCCAAAACATGCAATAACCCCATAAAAAGTATATCCTTGGAACTGGGGGATCTGGGTGAACCACATATCCAAAATTCACCCAGATCCGTTCAGTACTTTGGAAAATACAGTTTAATGCAGATTCTGCAGAACATATACAGGCTAAATAAAAAACAATCACTGTATAATGTGTCCCCTGCTGTATAGTCCAAAACCACCGCACGATGTCTCTGTGCAACAAATACTGGCGAGATGGCACCGTGTTGAAAAGTCCACACAGTGTCTGTGAGTTAAAATGGCCGCCATCCATTGTTCTCACCATGTGCTTCTGATACAGGAAATGGTGGCCACCCAGTAACTCCACAGTATGTCCCCAGATGGTTCTTAAAAGGGCTAGCAGCAGCACAACACAAATCCATTATGCCCAAATCATGTCTTTAAAGGGCAATACATCCCAGGGGCCATAGTCACATGGCAGGAGGCTGGCAACCAGGCTTCTCCAGTGCATAGTGGCGAGGTTGGTTCCGCCACAAAGGTCAACCCAATATTTCTCTGATAATGACACAGATGAAATCTCCCCTCTATCCCTACTATAGGCACATTAATGTGTTATGAGGGGTTTCTTTATTGCTAAGGGGAATAAGTTAAAAAGGGCCTGTACTAACTAGTTCTCTCAATTATACCATAAAATAGATCTAGAAACATTTTACATATAGATTCCAGACCTTTACACCCTAACAACCTTTACTACACTATGTAGAGGCCTGGTCCAACTGCTCAACGCCTCATAGCATAGGACCTGTCAGGACTCCGTGAGCGGCAGCTCATGGCGTCTGCATGCTGCTCCCGGCAGCCTCTCTGTTGCCTTCGCAGCAAGCGGCTACATCTGATCCTCCCGCACTGCTCGCGGCTTATCCACACTCGTTGCGAGCGGCGGCCTTTGGTGCCAGCTTGCCGCTCACGGCTACTCCCTCCTGCGGCATGTCGGACGCTGCACGCTTGCGTGCAGCATGTTTAAATAGGCGCCCAAGTCAGTCCAAGAAAGCGGTTAATCCACGAGTTTGTAGTCCTGAGGCCCCTGAAGCCTTCAAAACACTCAAAGAGGTGTTTACGTCGGCCCTCGTTTTGCGCCACCCTGACGCATCACTGCCTTTTATAGTCGAGGTTGATGCGTCCGAGTCAGGCATTGGTTCAATACTCTCACAGAGAAAAACCCACAACTGCCCTCTTCACCCATGTTGTTTTTTTCTCCAAAAAACTGTCTGATGCAAAGAAAAACCATGATGTGGGGAACAGGTACCTGCTGGCTATAGTGCTAGTATTTAAAGAGTGGAGATACACACACTGGAGGGTTCTGGACACCCTATCTTGGTGATCACAGACCACAAGAACCTCTCCTATATAGCCGAGGCCAGACGTCTGTCTTCTCACCAGGCTCGGTGGTCGTTATTCCTATCTCATTGTGTCTTCTCGTCCAGGCTCGGTGGTTGTTATTCCTATGTTATACCATAACATACAAACCTGGGTACCGCAACATTAAGGCAGATGCTATATCCAGGCAACACGAACCACTGGAGGTCAACCCCTCTCCACCTGAATCCATAGTTCCTTCTTCTAATATTATTGCCGCTACACACTTAGTCATCTCCTCCCTCTTTCTTGATAGGGTGAAAGCCTATCAAAACCAAGCACCGCCTGAAACACTCACAGGTTTGCTATTTGTACAAGCTAGGCATAGGAGAAAAGTCATGACATTGTTTCATAGAACCAAAACAGCGGGTCACCCAGGCATTAGCAAACTATTGAACAACATAACAAGACAGTTCTGGTGGCCTTCTGTTAGAAGGGACATTAAGGAGTATGTTACGGCTTGTCAAGTCTGTACACAATCTAAGTCTTCCACGAGCACGCCACAAGGTCTTCTTATGCCCCACTTCATACCCAAATTACCTTGGACACACCTGTTCTTATACTTTACAGTGGACCTTTCCCCTTCCGAGAGTCATACGGCCAATTTGATGGTGACCGATAGGTTCTTCAAAATGGCACACTTTGTTCCACTCAAGAAGCTTTCCTCTGCTGCGCAATTGGCAGAGGTCTTCGCAAAAGAGGTGTTCAGGTTACATGGCATACCTGTTGACATAGTCTTAGACAGAGGCCCTCAGTTCATATCACAGTTTTGGAGGGGTTTTTGTACTGAAATATGTATGTTATTGTCCTTTTCCTCTTCTTATCATCCACAGTCAAACAGGGCTGCTGAAAGAGCAACCAATCGCTGGAGCTCTACCTGCGCTGTTTCGTGAATGAGCATCAGGATAACTGGTCCCGCCTCCTCCCATGGGCTGAGTTTGCCAGGAACATGGTCCCCCATGCCTCAACTGGCTTAAATATTTCCAAGTGACTTTCCAGTGTATAACCCAGCGTCCTTTCCGGTCTGTTCTACGATAAGGAAATACCCGCTTTGGACGAACACCTACCCTTGCTTCGGGAGATGTGGGATCAAGTCCATGTTGCTCTGTCGCGTGCTGCAGAGTCCCCCAAAAAAGTTCGCCAATCACCATGGGGCTGCGGCTACTGCTTATATACCCGGTGACAGGATATGGCTGTCCACAAGAAACATAT